ACTGTCTAAATCATTGCTACCAAGGAGTGGTCCATTGGCTGGGCACTTGGCCTTGTGCCCTGCAAGTGAGAACCATGGATTGACCCCTGATGCACTCTGGCAAGCCTCCCTGGATTCATGATAGCCTCCCTCCCCTTCCTTTCACCTCCCATTTCCTTGCCTTAATCCCTGCATCTGTTCTCTGGGTAAACTGAAGTTTGTGTAGACTTCAAAAGTGTGTGGGCGTTTTCTGTTTCAATCTTCTTTTCCATTAAGATTTTGAAGCCCCTTGTAGAATGAGCGTGTGTGTGTGTGTGTGTGTGTGTGCGCACCTGAGTGTAAATGAGCAACTCGAGGGTTCCAGCTCGTACATGCTTGGCTACTCCAAACAAACAACCATGTTGAAACATGTCTTTGTGATCCGTGGAGGGCTACAGGTACATTCCACAGTAGTATACTGTTTGTCATATGAGGGCTGCTCCCTAAAGATCCTTCAAACTAACTGCAGTTTCCAAGGGGCTCTGCTGGGCCGGTTGCATTCAAGGCAACTCTGAAGCCTATAGCTCTTGATTCTGATAGGTTTTTCTCAAAAGTCACAGGTGATCGCAGTGCTTATTCGGGAGAAGTTTTCAGAAACAGAAAACCTGGTTGGTGAGAAGAAACCCAGAACAATTTCACAGAGGAGTCCCCCCTCACCTGCTCTTGCTTTGCGGGTTGGAAGACTATCTTACGAGAATTTTCTTGGGAAACCTTACTCCATCCACTCTCTAGCCCTGATCCGTCTCTTTAGACATAATTTTCATTTCCCCAACTCAGAGAGCATATAAAAGGAAGACAGTTTAAATCCTTAAAGACTACTGCCATTTTGATGTGGTCTAAATTGCAGAGTACAGAACCCTTCCAGAAAGGGTTAGAGAGATGGAAAGAACCCCTTCAGACATGGATAGACCTTGGTGGGGTTATGTTGAGAAGCAACAGCTTCATAATTTGATGTTTTTGTTTAATAAAGGTTTAAGATCCAACCTTACATCTGGACGGGTCCTAAGAGATGGTTGTGTAATTAAAGGGACGAAATTACGAGAGTTGACACACCCTTTCCTCCACCTCCCCCTTCTCCCTTGTCCCCCGGAACCGTCCGTCCCTTTGTTTTCTTCTCCGAATTGTTGATTCCCCCCTATCTTACCTAGATAGACATGCAGAGACATTAATAAGCATAAAAACCAGGCAAAGCCAAACAAAACAACAAAGGAAGCCAAAACCAACAGCCAAAAAGAAGAGAGCCAATGACAAAAAAGGAAAAGCCTATAAATAGTTCTAGGTCTGTTTTGACCTTTAGGAGTGTTTTCTGGTGGAGTCTGATGGGGTGCCACACTCTGTCCCCAAAGTCTTATTTCTTGTATTTCCCCGGGGACTTCATTGCTTTGCTCCCCTTGCTGCTCTGTGAATGCCCTTAATGTTTCGCCCCAGTGTCTGGTCAGATCAGGCACAATTCCTGCACTGTGGCTCCAGTTTCAACCAACCCAGGGACAAGGGAATAACAAGTGAGCTAAAATCGATGGAGAGAAGGGTGTGCCTAGTGGGGCTTAATCAAGGGCAATGTAACAGGAATTGCTGAAACCCAAATGAAGGCTGAACATGATAGTGGGACAAGAGGAAAGTAAAAGGAAATAGAGGAAAGAACTAGGGAGCAAAGGATGTTATAGAGATTTAAATACAGGCATGTATATATGTAAGTATAATGCTAGGGAAATAGATCTATGTACTTAAATTTATATGTTAAATATTAAAGGTAGCAGAAGGGCATTGGGCCTCAACTCCCAAGTACTCCCTCAACACAAGAACTTTGTTATAATCTGGCATTTTGTGATGCTCACCTTCCCAACATGATCACTGAAGACAAGAATTGGTGCATAAGCAAATGTAAAGAAAGCTGATGGTGCTCAGCTATCAAAAGATATAGCATCTGGGGTTAAAAGCTTAAAGATAAATGGCCATCTTATCTGAGAAGCAACGAAGCCCACATGGAAGAAGCACACCAGCCTGTGTGATCATGAGGTGTCGATGGGATCAGGTATCAGACATCTAAGACCTAGAACAAAATCATACCAATGTGAGTGTGTGTGTGTGTGTGGGGGGGGGATGTGGAGACCCAAAGTCCATCTGTGACCCTTCTGTAAGTGTAAGAGTCACAAGGAAGACAATCCAGTCAGGGTGTAGCATAGGACCGATTAAACATACAGCTTTTCTCTAGTTCCTTAATGCTTCCTCCCCCCACTGTTATGACTTCAATTCTATCTTACAAATCTGACTAGACCGAAACATGTACAGCTATAGGTAAGAGCCTGCAACACAGGGAACCCAGGATAGATAAACTCCTCAGGACCATCAATGAGAATAGAGATACCAGGAGGGGAAGGGGAAGGTGGGGAGAGAAAGGTGGAGTGAATCACAAGGATCGACATAGAACCTCCTCCCAGGGGGATGAACAACAGAAAAGTGGGTGAAGGGAGACAGCGGACAATATAAGATAAGAAAATAATTTCTAATTTGTCAAGGGTTCATGAAGGAGGGAGAGGAAAATGAGCTGATATCAAGGGCTCAAGTAGAAAGAAAATGCTTTGAAAATGATGGCAACATCTGTACAAATGTGCTTGACACAATGGATGAATGTATGGATTGTGATAAGAGCTGTAAGAGCCCCCAGTAGAATGATTTAATGTTAAAAATTATGAGACAAAAGTTTTGGGGTGCTCACCTCTGCCATGGCTTCAGGAACCAGGCCCGAGCAGAAAGCGATTGTATTCTCACACCACTTTAAATACTCTTGGGACATGCAAGCCCCTCTAACTGTAGGTAACCACATCCTTAACAAAATGATCTATACCCTAACCCTGAAGGTCCCCGAGCTCACTGGGGGAGTAACCTAACACCAGTGCTGGAGGCAGGTAAGGGGGAGTGACTCCCTTGAGCAGGGAGAGCAATTGCAACCTGTCCTCTCCTATTGATAAAGCTGCCAGCCAGATAGCAAGTAGCCACGTGCTTGTGAGAGGTAACTTTAAGGCAGCACTATTATGGGAGGATATTTTGGGGATTCATTTTGGTTATGAGAATGTGGTTGGGACTCAGCTCTAACAAGTGTGAAAGGCCTCCCTCCACCCAGAATCCTGGCCTCCTGGTTTCTTAAATATGAGAATAAAGATTTTGTCTGCATACAGTCTCTCTGTTCTTCTGTTTACCGAATACCGTTTCTATTATTTGTGTAGCAATACTTTTTACTTACTCTCATATACATATATGTGTTTACCTACATGTAAGCAGACATGTGACTGTGTAGGTGCAAATTGTATGTGTGTGTGTGTGTGTGTGTGTGTGTGTGTATCCAGCTTGTATTTTCCAGTTGTCCTGGTAGGTACTAGTGTTGGGCAATGGGTCCTGCTTCAACGTAGGGGCCAAAGGACTCGAGCCCGCCTCAGGCTGTGCCCAGCACCTATCCTTGGGGACTTGAACCTGCCCACCCCAGCCATCTGTCCCTGCACCTGTCCTGCCCCGAACTCGCGGGGTCCCCAAGGTGACCCGTGGCCCCCGGCCCGAGACGCGCGCAAGCTGAACGGCCTGCCCCGCCGCACAGTCCCGCCCGTTGCTCACCGTGGGACGCGACGCACGCGGGGAACCAGAGCACGAGACACCACCAGCCCGCGGCCCCACGGACCATTTCCAGGGCCCGGCCCAGCTCTTCGTTTTCTCCCAGCGCCCAGCCGCGGGTCCCCCTCCCGACTTCAGGCTGACAGATGCTCCGGCCGCCCGCCCGCCCACAGACCCGCTCCCGGCGCTCGTTGGCTGACGGAAATGAGACCCACGGCCGATTGGCTCTGACGCCTGCTCATATAAACATACTTTGCGCCGTAGCCCACTTCCTACTGGCCAAGAGAAGTGGGGCTGAGGTCTGATTGGCTAAAACTCTGACCAGCAAAAGCCCGCCTTCACTTCAGCCCCGCCCTTGAATTTCTCAGTTTTGATTGGAGCTTTCCTGGCTTCTCCGACTGGTGGGCGGGCCTGGCGGACAGGGAGGGCGTGGGCACCCTGCGGGACTCGTTTCGGCCTCTCGAAAGTCCTGCCTGAGAGCATCGGGGACGTGGGCCAGACCCTCTCCCAGCAGCTTCACACACCTACCCTTTCTTTGCACTCTCCCAGGCGCGAGTATGCCGCTTTGCTTTCCTCCAGCCCGCCCCGCCTCCCCGGAAAGGCACCGGTCTAACGCCCAAGCGGGCCTCCGCTCTTGGTTCGGGGTTCAAGACCCGCTCTCCTCTGTAGATGCTGGGAACGCGGCCCGAATTCGCCCCAGCCGCGAGGCTCTGGCCAGAAAACGGGTCTTGGGGCCAAGTTCCCACTCCGCTTCGCTATCACTGTGTGCACCAGTGAATGAGGAACCATTTCCTGACATCTCTGAAATGTATAAGACTGGGATAATAACCGTACCAAAGCAATAGGGTGATGAGGGGAGATCATTCCCTTAAAGTGCTTACTTAGCATACAGGTCCATCCCACCGTTAGCATTCAAGAAATGCATGCGCTTTTTGGCGTTCCTTGGTCTGGCGTCCAGTGGGGAATAGGGTGGAAACAGGATTAGAAGATGACGCGGTGGGAATACGGATGTTCCAAGAGGAAAAAAAAATCACACGACCAGAATCCAGTGATGGTTCGACAGCACTTCTCCTTGCGGGAACCAGAGCACCCCCGGAGGCCCAGCCTCTGGCCCTTCTACCTCTGCCGACTCGGTGGTACTGAACCATAGAGTGCCGGAAGTGACCTGTCCGTTTCCTCCTAGCATAACGGCCGGGCAAAGCTTCTGGGGATTTCTCCGGCGCGGGGCATTGTGGGATTGCTGGAGGACCGGGACCTAGAGAAGAGAGGAGGAAGAGCGGTGCACTAGATAAGCTATACAAAATGATGGTGAGTCGCATCTCGCGTATCCGTCGCCATCCAGGTCTTGGCTGGCACTGCTTAACTGGGACCCATCCCATAGGGCCCTCCCTGCCTCCTACTTCGTCTCCACCCCGACCCTAGCCTGTGGGCGACCCCGGCCCATCGAGGCCTGGCTCGCTCAGCGCACGGAGCAGGGACCGTTGGCGAGGATGTCGTGGGGCTCTAGGGAAGGGTCCGGCCGGGCAGGCTGAGGACTACAAGTCCCAAGGTGCTTCGGGGTCGCTGGCCCATATCGGAGACCCCGATTTTGGGGTACCCCCAACGGGGGCCTACGTGGAAGGAGTGCGGGTTGGGCGTACTTAATGCGGTCGGCGGCATGACTAGGAGGCGGCCGCCCCTGAGGCTACCGGGTGTAATGACGCTGTGCGCTTCCGAGAACGAGTAGAGGCAGCACGGGGACCTTAGTGGCTGAGCCCAGGGCTTCTCTCTGGGGCCAGTTACTGACCCCAGCCTACCTGGGGCGGCTTAAGTGGAAACCGATGCATCCGCTCGTATTTTCATTCATTTACGCATTCGTCCATTTATCAAGTGAATGCATCTTTAATGGCTTCTGAATGTACCGGGCTCAGCTCGGCGCGGCGAGCTGCAGCCCCTCAGCCAAAGTGGGACACCGCGGAAAGACCCGGGCCCAGACCCCTGCCCTATCTGCATCTCCTGTTGTGACCCGTACTTTTCTAGTTGGCCCTTAGCCCGGAGTAGGTTCTTAGAATCTGGAGCTAGTGAGTCCTGGAGCTTCCCTCTCCCACTCCCACCCCGCCCCAATTCTCTCCACCTGGCAGCTGCAGGTACCGTCCATGGTGTCAAACTTGGGTAGTGTCTACTGAGGTGCTGTTTGAGCAGGGTCAGCACCTAAGAAGGCATTTGCTGGCAACATTCAGAGAACCTGGCAGTTCACGCATCCTTTTGGATCTTTCCGACGAAGTGCCCTCTGTACTTTGCCGACAGGTTTCCGCTGCCACATGCCCTATGCATACAGGGTTGTGTGCCCAAGATGGGAGGAATCTAGAGTTTTATCTGCAACCCGTTTCCCGATTTGAGCCTCCAATGCCCTCCCCCACAATTACCACTATCCCTTCGCTCTCTGGACAGAGGCTGCATGGTGTAATAGTTGGGAGGGTTTTCGAACCATATTGAATGCCTCGGTTTTCATAACTCAGTTTTTCCACTTACCAGCCGTGTGACATTAAGCATATTGCTTAATTTCTGGTCCTTGGTCAGCTAGAAGGTAAAGTAATTAATAATATGCATTGTTAATAGGATTACATGAACGAATTTACATATATAAAGTGCTTAGAGCCAGGTCTAGCTTCTAGTAAGCACTCAGCAAACTTTTTTTTTTTTTGAACTGAGCAGTTGCTTGCTTCTGCCCTGCTTTCCATCCAGCTGCTAAGGCTGCCAGGAATCCTGTCACTATCACATTGGTCTAGGACCGTGGTTCTCAACCTTCCTAATGCCAAGACCCTTTCATACACTTCCTCATGTTGTGGTGGCCCCCCCAACCATAAAATTATTTTCATTGCTACTTCATAACTGTGATTTTGCTAGTTATAAATTGGGCGACCCCTGTGAAACAGGTCATTCGACCCCCAAAGGGGTCGCAACCCACAGGTTGAGAACCAGTGGTTTAGAATATTTTAGAGGCCTTAGAATAGTAAGAGGGTTCCACAAAACTAAAGTCCTGTGAGTGCTGTACAGCTTATACAGGATGTCACTCCCTTGCCTTTGTGGGGATTAGCACAGGGCGGCCTATAAACACGTTTCATACACCATCAAGTGTAATGAAGGTCCTCAAGGAAGATAAGGAGGAAGGTCAGTAAGCTACAATTCCTGAGCCTTTCATGAAACCCTAGGCATATTGCTGGATTCTGCTGTTCCTTTACTGGAGAAGTCAAAGTGAAGGAGGCTAGGTGGTAGCGTAAGGACAGACGCTGGGCGTTTCAGAACAGTCCTGAGCCCGGGGAATGCATAGAGAGGACCGACCGATCCAGCTTGGTGCCGCTTGACTTTTTCAGGTCCTGCTTCTCCACGGGGTCGCTCCCCTGCCATTTTGTTGTTGTTGATGCTGGCCAGTTGGTTCCAACTCTCAACAACCCTGTTACAACAGAACAAAATGCAACCCAGGCCTGGGCCGCCCTCAGGTTCTACGAATCGAATCGTAAAGCCCTTGGCTGCTTCCCCGCCCTTGTGTCACCCTAAGAATTTAGCATTAACCATGCTCTCAGCTCTTCACAGAAATAAGCCAGTACTTTTATGTCCCTGAACTTGCAGTTTTAGTATGTGATATTAGTTGTTGGCCCTGGCTCCTGCTGATGACCTTGTGCGCGATGGTTTTAACTGCTCGTTATGATCCATACGGGGGAAAGGTGGGGCTTTCTACTCCGGTGAAGAGTTGCAGTCTCGGAAACTCACAGGGGTGGTTCCTATAGGGTCTCTATGAGTCGGCATCGACTTGATGGTGGTGAAGTTTTTTAGCGTGGTTATGATCCACAGCATTTCTCTTGTTGATTTTCGGAAGCAGATTGCCAGGCCTTTCTTCCTAGTTTTCCTTGATCCGGAAGTTCTGCTGAAACCTGTTTGTCATCATGGTAAGTCTCCACTGACAAATTGGTGGTAGCTGCACATGAGGTGCATCGTCGCGAATTTAACCTGGACAACAATTGTATCTATCACTGAACTACACTACACACACACCCTCTAATACATATCACAGTTGAAATGTTACCACCCCAAACTGCTGAATGCTGCTCCATGGATGGCCAAAGCCAGCCATTCTAGAAGTGGTGGATACTATCGTTTACCTTTGGGGGCCCTCTTTTGTTACGATAGATGGATGCGAAGCTAAGTGAAGGGAGTCACAGCATCGCCTGGTTGGGTTCTCGGGCTCGCCACTGAAGGAGAAACTCCTTGGGAAACCTGGGGCTCTAGGGAATTGCTGGTCTTGGTGTTAGGAAAGTGGCTCTGGTGGAAACCGGACTACCATTTCAAATGGAGGCCCTGAGTGGGACAAACAGTTGAGATGACTAGCTGAAAGGTTCAGGGTTCGAGCCTACCCTGAGGCCCCGGAGAAGACAGGGCTTTCGAAAAGCCCCAGCCTAGAATACCCCAGGGAGCAGCTGCACCCTGCACACTCAGATGGGCTCTCCAGGGGTTGAGATGGGCTCAGCAGCAGCTTTAAGGTGGGGTGAAGCAGAGCCGAGAAAAGCTGGGGAGAAGCCAGCTGCTGGGGTGAGTGGGGGCAAGATCCCATTGGGGGTGGTAAGGAGGGATTGAGTCTCACGTTGGTTTCTTATTTAAAGTGTGATCATCTATCCAGGCCAGTGCTGACCTCACCCGAGAAGACTGGAGGCGCCGTAAGGAATGGTTTACCAGGCCTGGGAGACAGTGGAGTTGGTTCATGACAGGAGGTGTCGAGCACTGGGCCAGCTTAGGGGCAAGAAAGAATGCTGGCATAGGCACAGGGCTCTTCTTGCCACCACAAGTGGACACTCCAAAGGAAAGTGTCCAAAGTGCTATGCCTGGCCCCAGGTTTAAGGGGGTCGCCTGACAGGCATTCTTTTTAGAAATCTTTAATGGGCAACATATGGTGTATTCATTAGGAAAAAATTGAAGCAAAACAAAAACAAGTAGTACAGTGACCCAGGCCTCAGACCTAGCTAACCACTTCCCATGAGCCACGACTCTGATGACCAAAGGAGCTGGGGGTCCAGGCCTGGTGACCAGCCCTTATCGGCCTATTCAATATGGGTGCTCCCCACCTGCAGGCAACACCCTGTCTGCTACCATCAGCCCCTTCCAGAGCCCACCTGCCCCATCCAGCGACACTGCCCCATGTGGGGATACCCTGCTCAGGGATGGGCTGGCAGGCCTACTTCCAGCCTTCCTGGTCATGTGGTCCCAGGGCTGCGAGTGAGCCCCTTGGGTGACTGAAGCGAAGGGCATGGGAGGGAGGGCCTTGGTCTTGCTCTGCTGGTGTAGCAAGTGGGCAGCTGCCCACCATCACCTTAGGCTCCTGAATCAGCAGATTAAGCATTTCATAAGTTGCATTTTAAGTACATGTGTTATTAAACTTGTAAAATAAGAAGTGGTAGTAGTCCAGAGTGCCCACCCCTCCTTGTCCCCAGTCTCTTACTCTAGAGCACGTGGGCATCCTTCTAGTAAAAAAAGGTGTTTCGTGTATTCTACCTTGTCTCACTTTCCTCCTAAGCTCTCTTTGCTTGTGTTAGTTGTTTTTAAATACAGACCAGGCTCTGTCATTCCTCTGCTTAAAGTCTTTCCGGACTTTTCTTCATGGTAGAAATCAATCTAAACTCTTCCCTGACCTACCCTCTGTGAGCTGCTTGTCAACTGGGTCCCCTCCAGCGGTGCTGGCTGAATGAACCACTGAGCCTTTGAACCACTGTGGAGCCAACCAGCCCTGTGGGTTGCTGGCCATGGCTCCTGGCGTGCTCATTTTTAGGTTAGGAGCCCTGGGGATGTGGTGGATTTACTTGTTGGCCTGCCATCAAGGTCGTTGGAAACACTAGCCACTCAGCAGGACAAAGATGGGGCGGCTGTTCTCTGCCCTGTAGGGCCTTGAGGCAGGGAGTTACTAGGTTGAAGCAGCCCTGTGGGCCCTGCCCAGCCCCGGGAAGTACCCCTCGGAGTAGGCGAGGACCGCAGCTTTCAACATGATTTGGAGTACTGCAAAGACAGAATCAGTCT